TCTTTCCCTGAATCTCCCCATTCCTGGCTTCCCTCCTAACCATGTCCTGGCGCATCTCCAGAGCTGCCAAGTTTATGCCAGAAGCAGGAGGTAGATTTGTATGGGGCTGGAGGAAGATCTGGAGCTCTGTTAAATTTTCAAGCCCAGATGGGGCAACATGATTTGTGTGTTTATGTCAGTATGCCATACATCACAACTATCTGTGTGCTGACGTCAGCTTTGATTGGACATTAATGTGCTGAACACTGCAAACTAGAAAATACATGATAGATACAGATCTATGGCAACAATGCCACATAAGCAAATGTCTGTTTGGTGTGGCGATTCACTGTGCAAAATATTTCCCAAAATACACTGCATTAAGCCAGGAGAATATTTTTACACACTTTAAAAACAAAAAAACAAAATCAGCATGGGCAAACAGAATGCAATTTAAGAAAGCAAACCTGTTCAGGAGAAGAGCTGAAACCAACATATTGACATATGTATCATTTGACAAGTACAGAATTGCTATCCTTCACTTTCATCCTTCCAGAATGAAGACCAAATAGGAAATATGCTCTTCTTAAGATTTGCAGGACTGTTAACCATCAGGGTACCTTGCTGATGGCTGAGCATCTTTCTATCCACCGTTTTTGTAACCTAGTGTTGTCAAAACCAGCAAGCAAAAACATTCATGGACAGCAAATGTGGTTTTTTTTCAAATGATAGAATATTTTTTCTACACCAAGAGTTTAGGTTAGCTGCCAGAAATCATCAGTGTTTATTTACTTATAGAACAGTTTTGGATTTCTTGCTTATAAAAATAACATACAGCAGCCTGCTGAAGAACTGGCAAAATACAGTAATCTCTGGTCTGTGGATTTCTAGGAATCACTAGCCACTTCAGATTTGTATTTATACCATCTTTGTATGATTATCCTTGTAGAATAATGTGGCCAAAACTCTCCATTGAAATACAGCCTCTCTCTTCCTTGAAGAAGGTTTATTCTATAATATAGCACTATTTTATCACTACCCATCGTTAGACTTTGCAAGTAAAACTGAAGTTCCCTGATTCCATGGGGATAGATCATTTTGGGCTGTGCACAAGTAGCAGCTTTAAAAAGAAACCAGTCCCCAGGATTTAATGCCATCTGGCCCATAAGGTGGGGAAGGGAGGGGGTGTAAAGATACCATGGGATCAGTGGATTTAGGCCTTGTAACCTGACCAGATTGGCCTGTGCAGGGCAGGCCACAAGTTACTTTAGGTAGCGGTCAAAAACAGAAGTCAAAGTGTTCTTTGTTGGCAGTAGAAAATGTTCACCTTTCATGTCTGCTTTGTAGGCCTCTCTGTGGCTAGGAAATATAATGGTATTGCAGTGTGGGTTCATGGAAGCAGTTGGTGGTTTGATCATCGTTTTAATGAACACATGTGTCAGTACAATGCATAGACTTTTCTAACACAGTTCTACTTCTAGTTACTTTCTAAATTGTTATTATCAAATGGTTTACCTTTCATATTAAGTGTCAATTGTATAGTTTATGAAGAAATGCAGCAGTACAAATGGTATAAAATTAATTAAAAATGTAAAGCACTACCTTGGAGGTACAGTCAATTCTTCCTACTTGGAATGGGTATTTTTGAGGTGTTTGGTCTTGATACCCCTTGAAAGTATGATGGCTGTGGCACCTAGAGCTGTCAAGAGCAATAGTGTACCTGCTGCCTAGGCAGTTTTAGGGTAACTCCTTATCTTAAAGAAATACTTTGCTTTTTAGCACAGATTTGTCTCCTATTTTGCTCATTAAATGCTGACATCGCCAAAGCATTTAAGAATATTTGATCCTGAGTTACCTCTGAAAATCTCTGTTGTAACCTTTGACTGTTGCTTGCTGCTAGATAAAATTAAGTAAAGAAAACTATGCAGAAAACTTTAAGAAAAATTTAAGGCACATGACAGTAGGTTGTTGCAGCATACATAAGGCATCACTTATAAATCACCAATATATTAAAAAATGGTCACACAACTTGAAGCTATGGATTCATGTTGTATAGAGGGGAACTGGTAGAAAAAATGCTGGAGAAAATGCTTTGGGTTTCCATGTTGTTTAAATAATGACCAAAATGAATACTAATGTGGGTTGTGCTTGCTCAAAATATTAGAGGCGATATGCCTAAGTGTATTAAAAAACAAGGTTTTCAGAACACAAACAAAAGCTGAACATCTGATTCATAGTAGAAGTCAATAAGAGGTGCTTAAGTGCCACATGGCTTGTAAATATATCTGATGGGAACCAATGTTTATGTTATGAAGACTTAGGAAAATATGACTTTAGTACTGAGTTAGCCCTTTTGTGGTTTCTGCTCATCAAATGTATATTTTCTTTAGATGGAATTTTCTAGGGTTTTTTTGTTTTTGTTTTTAATAAGAAAACCTCTAATGTATTTTCTGAGCATTGATGACCTATTTTTTCCCCACAGTTTGTCACTGAGAAGACCAGGACTTACTCTACAAACATTAATTACCTTTTTCATCACATCAGATGTGTATTTTGTTTCCATGTCTTACAGAATAAAGCAATTATGGAACGTGTAACAAACTTGTCAGATGTGGTAGTTGGTCTTGAATCATTTATTGGCTCTGAGAGAGAAACCAATCCATTATACAAGGATTACCACGGTAAGTTCCATCTTTAGCAATGCAAAAAGTCTGCCCTGAGTGTTTCTGGGGCACTTAGCAGCTTACCTTCCAAGTGGGTATCTGCAATAAAGTAGTATTTGGTTTCATTTTAGAATATATGTCTTAAATGTTTCTCCTTGCAATCCAGTCTTGAGTTAGGAAAATTTTCAGTAAAGTGCATTAAGGCTGCAAAGGAAACATGGCAACTCCTTGCATGTTGTCAAGCCATATTACTGAGGCATGGCTCAATCAGATGTACATCTCAACAGGCAGGCTTTGGGGAATTCACATGCAGAGGAGGCTTGGCAATCATCTGACCAGCGAGCTGAACTTGTCATGAAATCAATACTTTTGATCTGCCAAGTTTTAAATAGAGAACACGGAAAAACATATATTATATTATATTAAGGTGAATAAACTGCTAAATGATGTGCTATATAAACTTCATCGAAAAATAATGTTCTGATTTTCAGCTCGAACTTACAGAACTTACGCATTTAAAGAAATGAACATGGATGTGTGTGGCATGTTAAATATGAAACTAATTTTGGTAAAATGTCATGTAGCCTTTCAAGTGATTCATCTTCAAAATGTGTAAGGGTTTTTAAGCTTGTGTTTTCTTTCCCAAATATGTTGTTAGCTCTTGCAGCAGGACTGTTTAAATTTTAAAACATGAGAAGTTATGCATAGCCAAAGCAGTGAATAACAGTTTTAGCTAATCTGGAACGGTGCTTTGAGGGTGCATAAATTACAGCTGTTATTATTGTGACACTACTGTAGTTCCATGGAAACCTTTAGTTGAAAGTAAACTGCTTCTCTGAAACCTCCTGTAAACATGTGAGAATGTGGCAGTGTTTTCCACAGCAGAATTTATAGAAAAAAAGTAAAGATGGTGTTGAGACACCACTGTGTGTATGCAGGCTGTAATTAATAAATCAGAGAAAACCCTTTTTGACTATGAAAGTAGTGCACATTTCATTATCTGCAAAAAGGTGAATGAAAAAGAAACTGTGAACAAAAGGTAGAATAATTTGCCTAATTATTTTTCCGACTGTGTAATCATTATGTGGCATTTGCTTATGCTAACATAATTCTGTCAATTTGATACTCCTTTTCTCAGTACTGAAGAGATCCTTTAAGACAATGTGTATTTTAGCAGTTATTTCTTGGTTTCCTGTAAAAATGTATGCTAAATCATTTTTTTATGCTACCTCGTGAAAATTATATGCCAATATACATGGCTTTTGAGGTTTAAACAACCTTAATCTAACGTTCTAGAAATAGGTATTCTTAGTAGTTTTAACTTTGTGGATTCATTTTTGCTTAAGAATAAATTTTAAGATTATTTATTTAGTGCAGATGATGGAAGACTTTTGACATTACTCGGGAGAAGTTTAATTAAATTACTGCATCCTTTAATGAATCCTGCATTAATAATTTTATTGAGCTGCCTGAAAATATAAATGGTTGACAGGTCACTGAAATAACGAAAGAATTCTACAGATGATCCTTCAATGTGATTTTTGCAACACCGTTTATGAGCAACCCTGTGTTATACCTGCTGTTCTAATATATAATTGATTTTCAAACTCAAAAGCCAAACAAATAATTAATATGTGTCACCAGACTGGAGGCAGGGATTGATGGTTTCAATCTGTAAATATATTTTTCTAGCGTTATTGAGAGGTGTTTTTTTTTATTGCCTATAAAAATTTTGCTTTTTAATGTATTTCAATTTTAGGAAACTTGCTTCCCTTATTTTTCCTTGTTAAAAAATAAATTAATAAAACCCTGGAAAAAATGTTTGCTTTATTTTAAAATAGGGTTTTAGTCTTTGGGGGTTTTCTCACAGCTGCTGTTTTTTCAAGTAAGATGTGTTTTCTAAATGTTCAGTAGTTCCATTTATACGCTGGCTTTCTGAATAGCAAATATAGGCCAGTAATTGAGAAGCCCTGTAGAATTTTCCTGGTTTTCAGATGTAGAAAATCACCCTTAGGTTGTTCAGAAACTATATTAGGCTGCGCAAAAACCATCCAGCGTCCTTGTCAGAAAAAATCAGCTTGAGTTGCAGCTGACAGAATGCAGAGCTTGCAGTGCACCTAGTGCTGTTAAAAACATCTGAGCAGCTGTATAAGCCTCCTGCATGAAGAGAACGTATTCCTCCTAGCTGGCATAAGGGTTAAAATTTATCAGGAAGCATGATCTAAATTGGTCTTTTCCAGAAACTTTTGAGAGTCATTTTCAGGGTGCAAAACGAAGTACTTCTCATTAGAGCTTCAGTGGTTATCAGTAACCCATAAGCCTTGTTTTGTTGGCTGCTTACTGGTGCATTTAATAAAATAAAGATCACTCAGTGGTGCCGTGGGCAGCATGCAAGGTGATAGCCATATTTGCTTACTGTAAATACAAGAGAAAATCACACACAAACCGGCTGTAGTTTTGACAAGTATTAAGATCCCTCTTTACATCTGTATTTCTGTACCAAAGTGCAATTAGTTTTCCTCGCACAAGGATTTCTGTTTATCTTATTCTGCTTGATTACTTGAGTATAATCGCACCGTTTGCTTCATTGCTTCTGGTAGTAAGCTCCAGTTTAAAAAGGGGAGGATGAGTGTGTGTAAATATACTGAATTCTGCTGTAAGACTCTAATTTATGCATCTGGATGACAGCGTTTTCTTATTTTTTTCCCCTCTTTTACTCTTTCTTTCCTCAAGGTTTGGTTCATGTACATCAGATTCCTCGGCTTAATAGCTTGATCTGTGATGTGTCAGACACGAAGGACCTTGCTTTTAGATTAAAAAGGAAGCTGTTCACCATTGAGGTAAGAGAAACAGTTTTGTTTCACTATTTAGAACCCAAAAGGTGGAGCTAATCCCATCTCTTATGTTTCGTTTTGTGAAATACATGAAATATGCATCAGATGTTGTAAATCCATTTCGTTCTGCTTTTGCTGTTCAGAACAGTTTTATACAATATTGTAATATGCCTTCTAATTAAAAATGTCTCGTTTGCTGCAGTAAATCAGTCCATTATAAATAGTTTATTTTGGTTTAAAATGTACACAGAAAGTAGGCCACAACCTTCAATAGCAAAGCGTGACATGTTTCTAAGGATGTCAGGAGCATATTTAATTAAATGTTAATGACTTGCTCTTACTTGTGTTAGTGGGTGGGAAAGTAGCTACATGTTATTACCCCAGTAGAGGGATTTTAATGTATAATGCTGCTTAAAATTGTGTGTGGTATGAGGGATAAGTGTCCTTATCAGTATTCAGAAACCATTTTCTTTGCATTACTGAAATCACCTTTCGCTCTTTTATGTCATTTTAAACACAGTATCATTTACACTAATGTCCTTAAGTAAATTTCCTACTAAATTTAAACTTTTTTCTGTGACCTTTATGCAGACAGTCCTGATAGAAGGCAGTAATACAAAAGATGTATTTCATTTTAATCTTGCTAAAGAGCAAATGAACATAGCACTATTAAGCAATTAGAGCTGATGTATTTATTAACCAAATAATGCTTAGAGATGGAAGATGACTTTCAGGGTGATGTGATAGTCATCGGTACAGTCTGGGCAAGTTTTTTTTAACAAAGACATAAAACAGCCAAGCATCCCTGACAAACGATTTTGTTTAATCTCTTTTCAAATGAAAAGCTCTTAAGCAGGCCACTTGTCTTAACTGCTTGAAACCGTAAAAAGAGAGAATTGCCACCAATAAATTAGCATATTTTTTACTCCATCACCAAATGATGGTCAATGTGGCTTGGCACTGCTTTGGTGTTTGGGACTTCACCCTTAAGTGACCACTTTGGCCCTTATTTGACCCTCTGCCCTTTTTAGCTGGCCACTTGATAAGGTAACTTAAGGGTTCTCTCTCTTCACTGCCCCCTCCTCTTCACAATTGCAAGTAGCCCTAACCTATAAATCATTGAAAGGGCCCTATCAAGTGACAAATTAAGGTGCCCTCCTCCTAATTAATGGTCATCAATGTCTTTAATTATCTAATCCTATTGAGAGTAGTTAATAGTTAATCAGGCAGCCAGTTCTTCATGCAGGTCATCTCTGCATGAGTGCTAGAAGTTTCTCAACTAGAGGTATCCTCTTCAGAAGCCACTTAAAGGCAAATACATGAAGGAGGGCTTTTTTCCCAAAGACAGGCTTTTAGAGTGTTTCTCACTTTCCAGAGAATGCAGTTAGTGAAACCAGGCATCATGAGGTATTAAACCATTTTAACAACTGCTTTTGAGCAGTATGTTAGAAACAAAAGCCTTAATAGACTGTTTGGTTTTAAAACACAAATGTTCCTTCCTCCTGTTTTCAGAAGTGCAGAGAAGCACACACCCTCATTTCACAGCACAGCACATTCATTGCTATGAATTAGAGTATCTGGAGTTTTTTTCCCTCACAATGAACCCTGTCTCAGAATGTAATTTTTCCTGTCAGATGTGTTTGGGATTCTAATTTGTAATGGAATTTGGAAGGGAAAAAACCCCCAAACCTTAGCAGGAGGCTCTGTAAAAAAAATATTGAATTTATCCATGGGGCAGAAGCGTTGGAAAAAGAGGTGTAGGGGAACTTTTGAAACAACCTGCTGCCCTAGACATGCATAGGTGACCTACTTGTATAATTGCTCCCTTCATTGCTCAGCTGCAGCCCCTTTTGAATAACTTCAGGTTTTGTTTGAGATATGCTTTCTATAAGCTGAACTGACACAGACTACCCTGGCTTGAACAGGTTAGATCACAGTCCCGTACACATGCCACTAATCTATAACACATATGGTTTTCTTCCTCATACTGGTAGGGGAAGCAGACTACAGCTAGGCTGACTAGAGCAATGAGGTCAATAAGAAAAGGGGAGCAAGGGAAAATTGAATTAAGAAGGGATGTGAAAACAGCCTTCTGAAATGGGTTTTTGCAGTTAGAATGTGTTGAGTCAGCAGTCAGGTTTGGTTGTGTTGATTAAAACATAAAGCAGCACAAGTACGTGTTACAACCAACGCTGTATTTTACATAAAGTACAACTAAGGTTATAATTTTTTTACTATGTAGCTTAAATGTGAAATTAAAATGTATTTTAAGTACATTACGTTTTTTTGAAAGCTTCTACTTAGTTATATATACAATTTAGGGTAAAAATATTGACCTCTACTTGAAATGCCACTTTAAAATCAAATTGCATAAGAAAAGTTAGCGACACGCAACCTATGACTTATGGTAACATTTCACCAAAAAAGGGTTTTCATCACTAGGCCATTCTTTTTTCACAGTTTAAAATAAGGGCATGGGACATGGATTTTCTCATCTCTGGATTGCTTACTGGTTAAGTAACTCTTTATGGTTTGGCCCTCATCAGTAAAAAAACCTTACATGTCAGATCCATTTTATTAGATTGCAGTTTTGTGGGAGGGACTCTGCCTCTTTATAGTCTGCAGAATCATTTAACTGTTTCAGTTTTTCTTGTCTCTTCTTTGTCAAAATAAGATTGACTAGAGGGAAGGGTTTGTTTTTTTAATCCAGCATGAAAATGTTTTTTAATTAATATTTATGAGTGTTTGTTTTCCATTTGTAAATTATGAGATAGACCCTTTCCAGAAAAACCAGGAGGTTGTGGTAAAAGGTGTAGTAGCAATATCCAGTTTTCCCAAATCTTCACACGTTAGTTCCTAGCAATGCATTATTATATGCAATATTATCAGAGAGCTATCTTATGTGCATACTGCTTTAAAGGACACAATTTTGAAGTTAGCCTGTCTAATCCTATTTCTTCCCACTTTGGAATCTTAATTAGAAGGAGATAAAAACCATCATTTGACTAAATTATTGTCTTGAATCTGTAGCAAAAGGTATAATCCGCAATTGGGCCAATTAGTGTACCCCATAGTTAGCTATGCTGAGGCAGGAAACTTGATTAGATCTGACACCAGCCTAGTTCCCACTGTTGTTTTGCCAGGTATGATGGTCAGACTTCAAAGGGCTTGAGGCATCAGCAGGGCAAGGTTTGGAGGCCAGCTTAGGTCCGGTCGTTAATCTCTCTGCTAAAACCACAGCAGCCCTCGCACAAAACAAGCTTACACGACACAATCATGCGGTATTAAAGTTTGGGTTGAGTCATGCCAATTTGCCTTTGATTTTCTGATGATTGACTAAAAGATGGCTACATGACTAGACACATACTGAAAGTTTACTGATTAGGTAAGTTCCCCAAATATTTGAAATATTTTTTGATTTCTCAGTTAAATGATATGACAACCCGTTCATCTTAGTGAAACTTTTCAGCAGAGTTGTTCTGGAAGTACCTTTTGCTTTGTTTGTAGCTCTGAATGTAAGTTTGATCAACATTTGATAAATTGTGTAAGAACATGATGTTCGTAGTTTTATTTCATAGAACTTTATAATTTTGGGGTAAATGCCTGCTGTATGAGAACTAAAGGAATCTGTGCCTAAATCTGAATTTTTCACTCCTTGAAATTTCTCAGGAAATCATTTGCTATTTAGATACATTTGCGATTACTCAGGGAAGGGAATTTCCTGTTAATTATTTTCCACCTCTCTGTTGAGTAAAGTGCTGTTCCACTGCTGCTATTACATAAGTGTTCCTTTCTTTTGCAGTCTGATTTGTTGAAATATTGCAGTAACAGTGACATGTTTCCATTCTGAGAAAAGCCTAAGGCTGCTTTAGTATTATTCCAAATGATTGAAATTGCCATCTTGCTGACTTTCCCTTGGGCAGCTTAAGGCCTGTTTACTTTTGTATTTGTTTCACATGTTCCCTCTGAGTTTGGCTGGCAGGACATCATTACCTGGTTTGACAAGACAGTTGGAGAAGATTCATATTTGATTAACTCCCTTTGTTACTGTCTGGTCAACATAAACCTCTGAAATTGTCTATTTAAAGTTAATTAATCTGAATGTTAATAATTCAGAAAAATATTTGCAAATAGGAAAGTTTGTGAGGTTTTGGGTTGTTTTTTTAGTTCCCTAGCTTTGCTTTTTTAGTTTTTTTAAATCTCCAGGTAACAGTCAATTGTCAATAATGTAGAGAGTAAGATATATCCTACAGGTGGTATAATGTAGTTTGTTATATATATATATTATATATATATAATTGTTTTTCTGATATTTTAATTTTTTTTTCATTTTGATCAATACACAAATAAGAGCTAGCTAATGTGATTTTCTTTTTTAATGCCTATATAACATCTGTGCAAACCAGAATAAAAATATTTCAAAGACTGCTCAGTTTGAAGCCGAGGGTCATATATTATAGAAACAATTGCCACACAACAAAAATAAGTAAGTTTCCAGAGCTTAATGTATGTGTTCAGGAGATTTTTTTCTGAGAGGTGTTTCCTAACAGGAGGAGAAGAAAGTCAGAATTAGAGGAGTCTCATGGTAGGCAAGTTGCTGGTTTCTCACTGGCAGCCAGATGCAATATGGTACTATGGAACACTCTGCAATGCATTTTTCCTAATGGTAATTACCAGAGTAAAAGGTTATCTCTTTGGAAGGACACATAACCACAAAAGACAGCAACTGGGTCTATATAGAATTAAAAATTAAAGTATTATTCCAAAGACATTAAAATAATGCACTTTCTTCATCTGTCAATAAAGGACTATAAGAAAATTAATGCTTGCCAAAATAAGCAAGATTTAATTGCAACATCAGATACCAGTTTGTATGTTATGTGTCCAGCATTGGTATTGGGAAGGCATAAAACTCTTTTCTTTACGATGGTGAAGTTGGCAGTTAGAAACAGGAAATTCATCTTAGCTTTCATCTGAAATCTCAGTATTTCTACTTTTTTTCCTCC